CCAGTCATAAGGGTCAATTTTTCAAAATTGAGATTTATACATCATCTGAAAGCTGAATAAATAAGCTTTCCATTGATGTATGGTTTGTTAGGATAGGACAATATTTGGCAGAGATACAACTATTTGAAAATCTGGAATCTGAGGGTGCAAAAAAATCTAAATATTGAGAAAATCGCCTTTAAAGTTGTCCAAATGAAGTCCTTAGCAATGTATATTACTAATCAAAAATGAAGTTTTGATATATTTACAGTAGGAGATTTACTAAATATCTTCATGTAACATGAATCTTTACTTAATATCCTAATGATTTTTGGCATAAAAGAAAAATCTATAATTTTGACCCATACTATGTATTTCTGGCTATTGCTACAAATATACCCCAGCGACTTAAGACTGGTTTTGTGGTCCAGGGTCACACATACAGTGTTTTAAAGTTATAAATAAAACAAAGATTATTGGAGTACATTTTACCATGAAATACAATTTTAGTCTTTCTGCTTCCATTTAATTTTATTCAATGTTGTATGTTATCATTTTGAAATGTACCAGTAATTCTTGAGTGAAAATTGTTTCTCCACCAAATTTTCAATGTAACTGAATTGAGTTTGTTCCGTAACTGATGAACATTGCAACATTGACTGTTATTAAACCAAATTAAATCAACACTGAACTAAATTGATTTAAATAATGACATTATTGTCTTTTCAGAGCTGCTTTACAGCTGAAATTAAAATGAAACATTCTTCATAATTAAAGAAGTTTGCAACATTAATGCTGTTATTTTCTTCTTTATTGCTGTGAAACTGCTTTGAAACAATCTGTATTGTATAAAGCAGGGGTTCTCAAAGTCTACATTCAAAGGTCCAAATCTGAATTCTCATCAGTGTCAAAGGTCCGGACCGGAACAATTGGTTATTACAAAACTTGTTTTTAATAAACATAGGCTACATAACATGTATAACAAATAAACATAATTTTTTTGAAAAAATAAAGTGGCTAAACAATTAATTTTAGTGTCAGCAATAGAGGTCGACCGATAAGGGTTTTTCTATGGCCGATGCCGATATATGATGCTGATTTTTTTAGCTGATATGTTTGGCCAGTTTTTTTTTCTTCCCTTTATTTTATAAAAGCGAGTTTGAGTAAATGATTATTGCAGGGCACAAGATGGTAATAGTAGTAGTAGTAGTAGTAGCCTAATTCATAGTAATAATACATGGCTCAAAGCACAGAAAAAATCTATTTGTTGCGGTCAGTTTTGATTTTGTGATGGGCCTCCACAAATAACTCAATGTATGGGAAACACTGGACACTGCTGTAAGTCAAATGGCCATAATCTAATTGATAACAAAAATAAATAATTTCTCATATTAGCGGTGAAATGTCGTCCGATTATGTCAAACGTCATACGCTCACTGGATGTCATGACAACAAATGTCATGAAGGAAACGTTTCAATATCTCGCCTTCGCTTTCATTTCGGACCATCTCCAAAAAGACATTAAAAAGCTAAACATTTGATTTACAAGTTTAACATGCGTTTATCAAAGTAGGAAATAATTAGTGTTCTTGAAATACGAAATGGAGGCGGGTCCTGGATCCGGACCCAGACCGGAGTCCAGACTTTGAGAAGCACTGGTATAAAGCAATAGCCTATATAAATGTGACTTACTTGACTGGCAAATATTTTCACACAGATCTGATCTTTCAGGCACATAATATGCATCACATAAAGAGTATGTAGTCACTGCGGTGTTAAAATGAATGGATGAAAGCCAGGAACACACACACAGACTTTGTCCTCATCTGGCTGGCTGGACCAGGCTGGGGTTACCATGGAGAGAGAGGAGGTGGCATGACTCCCACTGCATATTCAGAATCCCTGGATGCCGAAGCACACAAAGGTACCTGTTCACAGGAAAAGAATTATCCCGTCTCCTCACTGTGCTAAATTAGCTCATCAGGACCAGCTATATAAAGCTACACACAGGCAAGGGGAACAAGAGCAGGTGAAATAGAGAAAAGAAAGGACAGAGGGAGAGAGAGAGGAAGGGAGGGAGGAAGAAAGAACAGCCGTGAGCCCTTAGGCAGCATTCTGACTAACAGCTCTATGTCGTTTTCCTGCTGCTCTGCGGAGACAACATTCTGCTTGCTGTCTAGCCTACGCTAAGACACACTCTGTCCTCCCCGCCTCAGGGGAGACTTTCTGCCCTGCCGCTGCCTCCGAGCAGCTTCCCTTTTGTTTTAATTATCCATCGCCTAACGAGGAGAAATGTATGCCTCTTCTAATTCCAGTTCCCCCTCCCCCTTCCCCCTCTCCAGGGCTCACACTTTCTCCCGCCAATGGCATTACCTGCTGTCCTTACTGCAGGAACCCTGCCTTAACATTTAGATTTGAAATTGAAATCCACCATTTGCATAATCGTAATTTTCAAATTTCCTTCCCTTAGCTTTTTTCCCCTAAGCTTGTTCATGATCTGTTGCTTTTTCTCCCAACCGTATTCTCGTTAACCCAAAGCCATTACTGCCTACCCTGTGAAAAATGATTACTTTGAATCTCGCTGTTGCCTCCTTGAGTGAACATGATAGACATCTAACACAGCGGCACAGTATAAGACACGTTTCCAAGTGTAGCTTTTTATCAGTTGTCTAATTTCTCTCTCGTTGCCTGACACACTTAACGGGGTCCACTGGAGACTGGATATATGTCAACTGTATTTTTGTGTCTTTGGGCTGGGTGCGGTGCTGTAAGCAAACCATCTGTTTCTCCACCTGACCTTTAATTGCCTAAATTGAAATGAAATGAAACTGTGCCTCCAAAATCACTCATGTCTAGCAACAGTTCTAAATGAATAAATGCTGTGCGGTGACTAAACAGTGTTGCAGACCTGAAACTAACTAAAAGTTTTGGTGATGACTTAACTGCATTGTTCAGTAGTGTGACTGAAGCTACTTAACTGATTCAGTGTAGTGTATCTTTTTCAGTAACAAATTATGTGAATAACTTTTGTAAGTCATATTGTTCAGATGGTTCATTTTTATGAAAAATTATTCTTTGGAATTCATTCAAATGATTAACGGATTGATTTAAACCATGTTCTTGGAATGCTTTGAATGCCATGTTTTATGTGGTGACATATTTAGTTCAAAACTGCTGTTTGGGTTCAGTAAGTTTTTTAAGTTTTTGAAAGAAGTCTCTTGTGCTCATCAAGGCTGAATTTATTTGATCAAAATACAGTAAACATTGTAATAGTGTGAAATTCCATTTTAAAATGTAATTTATTCCTGTGATGCTGAATTTTCAGCAGTGATTACTCCCGTCTTAAGTGTCACATGATCCTTCAGAAATAAATCTAATATGCTGATTTGGTGCTCGAGAGCCATTTCTTATTATTAGCAATGTGGAAAACGTGCTGCTTAATTTTATGGAAACTGATATGGAAAGGAGGACCCTTATGTACCTTCAGTGTAGTTAGCTACTTTTTGTTAGCAACTTGTACTTTTTCTGTACAGTTGAACAGATTTAAATTAGGAGTTGCTTGACAAGAGTTTCACAGTAGCGAGTAGACCTGAGTCTCTTTGACACCTGAACACCTGCCCCATCAGGTTCACTGCAGTCGGCTAAGGTGAATCAATCTAAATCCTTTTCTCACTCAGTCTCCATCTCTCTCACTCTCTATGGCTATGTTCGGAATGGCATACAACAGTTTCTATTCTTACTATTTTTGCAATTTGTATACCTTGTGCAGTATGCAGATTTTTTTTCTCGGAATAAGATGACCTACAACAATTTCCAAAATGCGTAGCTACAACAAATCACACAGTACCATATCCCGCAATGCACTTTACATGACCTATTCCCAGTGTGACGAGTGAACTGGAGGCGATACAGTAGTTGTTAACATCTTCCTAACCAGCTATTTGATTAGACATCCAAAAGTTGGAATATTTTTATACAAATTAAAATGTAAAAATAGAAAATTTCTCAATATCATAACTAGACCAATATAGCATACTGCTTGATATGCCATGCATATTCTTTTTATATGCATTAGCCCTATACAGAAAATAAAGCAATATTCTAATATTTAATTTCATAGCTTGTCTTTCCCGTGCACCTGTCATATCTAGACGCAGTGTTCTAAAAGTGTTGCTAGTGCATGTCATGTGAGGACATCTGAGCTAGCAAATAATAATAAAAATATTTTCAGATCTCATCCAGACAATATTCTTACACTCGATACATCAGCAGGATATTAGCTGAGCCTATAGATGCATTGTGAGTTCATGCATGTAATATAACAATATATGCTTTGTTCATGCTATGATTGCAAATTAACAATTTGGTTTTCTATGTGAATTTCTTACATATCAAATGCCATATCAGGGCTCGAAATTAACTTTTTTACTTGGTAGCACTGGTGCTCCCAACTTCAAAAAGTTAGGAGCACCAGCAAAAATTTAGGAGCACTCACCAAAAATTTAGGAGCATCACAACTACAAATTATATATTAACAGATTTTATCCTTACATTCTTAACTTTAATGCAGATTTTGTATTGGTTAATATTAGCTGTCAATCTCTCAGTCACTGCTTTCCGCTAACTACCTCGAGAAAAAGAAAGGGCTGAAGAAGAGAGAAAATGAAAAGAACACTGACAGATTTCTTTTGCAAACAACCTAAAGTTAAGTTCTTTGGCGAGGGTTAGGATGGTGTATGCGGTGTTAAATTTTACATTCAGCTCTGCCAGTTGCACCGAACGGCTGGCAGCTAGGGGTGTGCGATATTGACAAAATTATATCTCGATATTTTCTGGGATTTTAACGATAACAATAATTTGACTGAGTGTTACTGTGCTGATATCTTAAGGACTACAGTGGACAGCTGACTCCTAAAATTTTTAATATTCATATTCTGTGTGGTGGTCAGTTCACAGCAGTGACAGAAATGAATCTTTTCCAATAAGTTTAAATAGATTTTTACTAGGGCTGCACGATAAATCGCATGCGATATTTAACGCGCATCTTATCAGTAAAGCTGGTTCTGTAATCAGCGGTAAATCTCCATCACGTGCGTGTTTTCACATTGAGCAGCATTAACTACACAGAGCCGTTGTTCACAGGCAAGCTGCGCAAAACCACGTTCATATTCACACGATTTTTTGCGCAGCTCGTCAGTGAACAACGGCTCTGTGTAGTAAATGCTACACAATGTGAAAACACGCACGTGATGGAGATTTACCGCTGATT